TAATTCCTTCTGTAATCCCCTTTTTTTCCCCCTAAATCGCATACCTAAATTTGAAGGAATCGTGCTGTTTATTCTGCTTTTTGCAAAAACAGAGGAAGGTTTTTATTTTATTCCTGGAGGATGTATATTGAAGCACTTAATGGTATATTTAAGACATTGTTTCTGTTTTTATTTAGATTAATAAAGGGGAATAAAGGTTACAGCCTCTGATCTCATTGCAGTGCCCGTGAGACTACATCAGCGGTCATAGCCTTTTCGCAACCCATGGACCGTAAAAGAGTACTTTGGTTGAAAGGAGAGGAGTATCTCAGTGAAGGAAATAAATGCATCAAAATGAGAAAATCAACAAAGAAAATCAACCTTTTTTTTCTTACAGCATAGGTCAAATAGCAATGTGCAGTATTGCATGTGCAGTCATGTATGTATTGACACCAGGAATCAAACCAAATGGTGCAGCAATACCTTGTGTTCTGGGTGCCATCCCTGCTGTCAGTAATCCGGGGTAACGGATGTGTGTCAGCTGGTGTTGTTTACACAGCATGTACAGAAGTTCCAACAGGCATTTGTGCATAAGGTCTAAAACTACATGCTAAAGCTACCACATTCTAGAAAGAGCCATCATGGAGGGTTCAGTGTTCTTCCCAGAGAAATAAAACAGCATGTTAGACCTAATTATGTACTTTCTACAGAGGTCAAAAGCAGCAGATGTAAAGATGCTGCTATCTAGAGCTACGTTTTCATCAATAAATTTTAGCTGGAATTGCTTTAATCTCTGCCATACTGGAATGCTCTTAGCAGAGGTGTGCTCCATTTTAATGAATGATAGCCTTGGTTGCTTCTGTCTGTCATTCTTCAGCTTGCAAAGGACGAAACCAGTTCTTGAACCAACAAACAAAAGTGTAGATGAATGAGTCAATGCACAATGTTAGAAGTCCCTAACAAAAGGTGTGTTGCAATGCTTAAATATTGATAAACTAAGCCAGGTGAAATAAATTGTTCTATTTGGGGGTTTTAACTTGCATATTACAAAGAACACAAGTGAAGAGCATGCCTAGCGCTGTGTGAATAGCTGCACTGCAAGCTCAATGTGTCTGGTCTTGCCTTCACGTATTCACAGATGCAGCTGCAAAGTGGTTTGGACAGCTGCCTGCCCCACTCGCTTACAACATCTTGAGCTGACTGCAAGTGGACATGTGAATGTGGTCAATGGAAAACTGAGGCACTGGCTTGAATTCAGGGAGGTGGTTCCTCAATAACATGGCTAGAGATTTCATTTTCCAGATGGGAGTCTGTGTGCAAAGTCCTGCTTCTATAATAAGGGAGTCATCCCTTCTAGATTAAAGCAGTTGTGGCAGCAGTGTGGCTGATATACAGTAGGTATCCATATGGAGCTTCTCTTTTCTGATGCAACCAGCCTGTAGTCCTGGGCTACATAACCACAACCCACTCATTGGAGACCAGTACAATCTGCCTGAAAGGTGAAAGACTGTGATCAATACTGCTAATAGTGCAAAGCATATTGGACTAAGCACTAACAAGGGCAAATGTTTGCCATGCTAATTTCAAGAAAGAGATTTGGCAATTTCGCAAAGCTATCTTATAGCAAGATGATGAAAATTTAAGTTAAACACTACCTGTTCCCTTTTGCTATTAGATGTGAAAATCTGCTTTATACAATTGAGTTTGTGGAGCCATGACATTAGGGAAAGAACTGGGGTTTCATGTTATTAATATCAAAGGCATTTAAATAGCTTTCGGGGGATTCTGATGAATAGTTTGTTTACAGATACTGTTTCGCTTTTCACATTCCGTGTTTAGTTGTCGTGACATTTGATTTGAAAAGGTCTGATACTAATTAAAAGGGTCTTAAAATGCTCCAGATGTCTGTAAATCATTCCATGCCTGTTTTTTTGCATAATGCCACTCTATATTGCACTTCATGCAGTTGAGAGTAGTATTTCAGAAAAAAAAATCAAGTGATAATCTTTTTTTCAGTCTTACATTTGCTCTCTTAAAATGTCGTCTTATGAAAATCAGAAAAATAGCAAATTAAATAGCTACTTAGCTGTGGTTGCAAAAAAAAAACTATATGGAAGGCTCACAAACGCATCTGTGGTGTTCAATAACACATTCAAGAAAGAAATATTTTCTGTGGAGAAGCTGTCTTCCTGAGTATTAAAAATGAAAATATACTTTTAGTTCCTCTAGAGCATTAAAAACCATGCCCATTTGCAGCTTACCAGTGAAGAGCACTTATCAATATTAACTCCAAACATACAAAACACTTGAAAAAATAGTGTTCTGCTGCAAACCGCTTAGCAGACGTTTATAAGCTTTCAGTTTCTCTGGTTGCACTCAAGTTGCGCTTTTCTGAAATAAGTAGTTTGTCCTGTAGGGTGGTAAGAGTCAGAAAATCTAGACTAGGGTGTCTAGATCTTGAAATAATTAGATTCTAAACACAATGGAATCTTTTTAAAACTCCTGATATTCCAGTTAGCCAGTCTTTTTTAATCTGGAATTTTTGTTAAAGTCTACAAAAAAGCACATATTTCCAAGAAAGGACTAATAATGTCATCACGTTTGGCAGGTTTCAATTCCAAGACAATTAAAAAGCACAGGGAAATGAAGCTCGTTAATCATTTCCAGAATAAAGTTAGAATTCAAGTAGCACCATTTGAAGAATTTGAACGGTCTCAGTGTTTCTGTGGAGCAAAGATACAGATGTCTTGGAAAGGAGCTTTAAAATCAAGTTCAAGTTCAAAAGGAGTATAAATGTTTGCTGTAATCATGTCTTGAGTTTGAGGTTAACAAGATGAGGTTACATACAGATGCCTGGTTATAATAAACTACATAAACATTTTCAGGCAAAGACAAGGTGTGGAATAATTACATTTATGTGAATAAAAATAATCATAAAATCAATTCTGGGACCAGAAACTCATAATCCTGAGATTCAGAATCTTGACATTCTTCAATGGGTCAGTATGATCAGTCACTATAAGGACCCTTAAACAGACCCTCATGTCTGCATTACAGCACATCCAGAAGTGAGTGCTGTCCCTGTGAATTTTTTACAATGGAACAAAGGTGAACAAATGCCAGTCAGATCCCATCTTCTTTAAAGGGTGTTCACTCTCCTGCCCCAAGCCGAGATTCCATTTAATTACTCCATTAAAATTGACCCCGGGGATAAACAGGTCCAGTTACAAGCATCTTCTGAAAGGAAGGTGCATTTCAACAAATGCTCGCTACACTAAACAGGCCTCAACTTTAAAAGATTAGGACTTGTCATTCCACAGGGCCAGTGGCCAGCACCAAGAGAGGTTTGCCCTCACATTACCCATTGTTTTGTTTTGACAATGTGAAGTACAGCTTCTGGTGTTTGTGCTAGTGAATACACACCTATGAATGGAATTCAAAGTTTAAAATGTGTCACATGCTACAGGACCATCCATCTTTATATTGGAAGTAGCTCAGCAGTGCTATGCGAGCCTCACTCAATGGATCATTCAAGCAGAACATATCCAGGTTTTCTAGGCATGAAGTGATCAGAGAGCAGATGACTTCTCCCCTGGATGGGACACCATCAGAAGACCTTCCCTCTGCAATTTTGGTTC